ACCAGATATTAAGTAAATTGTAATTTACTTAGAAAGTCTATGGAACACCAATAAAGACATTCTGGAGCCATCGGGTTGCAACTTTGGCATTAAAGTGTCCTGGTGTGTGGGAAAAATAATAATGATTTGGGTTAGGCAATAGTACATCAGGGAGGCTGGAGCGATAGCACAGTGAGTAGGGTGTTTGCCTTGCATGTGCCCAACCAGGGTTCGATTCCCAGCATCCCATATGGTCCCCAAGCACCGCCGGGAGTAATTCCTGGGTGCAGAGCCAGGAGTAACCCCTGAACATTACTGGATTTGACCCTAAAGAAATTTTTTTAAAGATAATATTGATTTGTGTGTGAGATGCTGACTCTTCTTTGTAACAGCTATTGAGTTTAAGGGCAAATGGCAGAGAGATGCACTTAAGATTTTCTAATTTGGTGATTACACATCTAGATTGCTATAGATTATCCGGCATAAACTCAAACAAGTTTGATCATGGCAACAGAAACAAGCTATGTCCCTGAATAAAGCTACATGGATGGTGTGTGCAGGAACAAGAGTGTGTATCTTAAGATCTTCTCTGTAGGAAAGTTAAAACCAGTAAATAGATTAGAAAATTTTGTTTAATGTGTTGACAGTGTCAACATGGACTAAATGTAGAAAGTGGGACAAGATCTGGCCCAGAGCCTGGAGGTGGCTGCTCTCAGAACAAACATAATTAATCCTGAGTCTCCTACCTCTGCCCTTGGCTTTGTGAGTTTTACTTCCCATAGATGAGTGTCCCATCCAAATGGCCACAGCTACACAGATCTCACCATAGTGGAGCTCAGACCATCACTCAACTCTGGGACCATTGGAAGTAAATTTCTCAGGCATCCACTCCAAGAACATGGGACATGTGTAGACACAGGGTTGGCAGAAGGAGCAGTCGGAGTGACTAAATTTTTTTAGTTTGTAAAGCAACTGAACAAGTGGAGAAATCCATGAGTTTTCCAGGATTAGGGAAAGGATGAAGGACCTGAAACCCTCTCACCTGAGTGAGGAAAAATTCCTCACAGACTCCACAGTTTTTCCATCCTTTGCCTTTGCTCTCCTACCTGGTCTTTGTCAAGAGGCTGCTTCCCTCTAGCTTCTGGGCTGTACAAGCAGCCCTATCCACCCTCCTTTGATGCTGCTACTTCCTGCTGGTCTTTGGTCTTTGTGAGGCTGGAACAGATGTTGGCAGGAACAGCTCTCTCCCCGTATCACCAGGGACATGGTCCCACAAGGTTTATTTTCGTAGTGAACTACCTCTTTAAGCAAGAATGTCCAACTTTCCTCAGGGAACTGTCAAAGCATCCAAGCCAAGTCTGAAGGGACATGGTCCTGGAGAAAAAAATGAAGTCCTTGGGTTTGCAGCCTATAACACAATTTCAAGCCATCTTCAGAGGAGCTAAACAGGTGGTTTATTAGCATGGTCAGAAGATCCAAGATTAGAGGCCAGAGAGATAGTACAGAAAGTAAGACTTACCTTGCAGATGACATACCTGAGTTTGACCCCGAACACTGCATATGGCTCTCCACACCCCACCAAAGTGACCCCTGAATACAGTGACAGAAGCAAGCCATGAGCATAGTCAGACATTCTGATCATCCCCCAACAAAAGAAAGAAAAGAAAAAAGGAAATGAAATGACTTATGAAACCTACATCTTTATTGAGGAAATTGTTTAATAGAGTTATTGACAAATTCATTCTTCTTACATCTTTTGAGAGCACATTTTTTAGACAATAGTCTCAGGAGAAGGCAAACACGTAAAGTAAATAGTAAAATAGTGAAGTAAAAATTTTAAAAGAAGTGAAAGATAGCTTGTCTTTTGTTGAGATGCAGGTAGAACACATGAATAGCATATTTTTAATCAGATTCTTTTTGTCCATGTTTGTGTGAGAAAGAAAAATCTGGTTTTCCCCACCACAGGAGAAAGGCTCTTTTCCTGTTCACACTTCGACAGCAGATGAATAGCATTCCAGTGATAAGATGAGTCAGGATAGACAGAGAAATACTTTCTGGTTCTTGACCCAAATTTATTTTTATTTTATTTTATTTTATTTTGGTTTTGGGGTCACACTCATAAATGCCAGGTGTTACTCCTGGCTCATGCACTCAGGAATTACTCCTGGTGGTGCTCGGGGGACCATATGGGATGCTGGGAACCGAACCCGGGTCGGACGCGTGCAAGGCAAACACACTACCCACTGTGCTATTGCTCCAGCCCCTTGACCCAAATTTAAATGTGTTTCTGAAAATGATGATTTTTCTCTTTCTCGTAATTCTGGCTTCCTAGTGCAGCTCATGTGCACTGATCCTCAACTTCTCTGCATCCTGAGATGATCTGCTTTCATCGTTCTTGCCTTGGGAGCTGCTGAGCCCCCAGCCCTGACCTGTCAAATAAATGCCAGTGGCCTTTGTGGGAATTGATACTGGGCAAGGGTTTGCTGTGGAGTTGACTGCCCCCCCCCCTTGCGGCAATAAAGGAAGCTTGTTCTACTTCTAAATGATGGTGCTACACATAGCAGTGGGAAAGGACCGTGCATGCCATGAAGGAGAGTGCCAGTGGCAATGAGCATTGGCTGACGTCGGGAGAAGGCGATGACTCTCACGACTCACAAGGACAAACATGACATAAACAGAACTCCATCTGGATGCTCTAACGCAGGGGTGGGCATCCTGACTTGGGGATGTGGCCTAGAAAGTGGTCTCTGTTCAAATGATAAATAACAAAATTCAATAACACAATAAATGCATAGGTTCAGTGGATTTAATAGGAACAGAATCCGAAAAAAGAGAGGGCCAGCTAGAGAATAAGTGAGCTATCCAGGAAGGAAAAAGACCAAATGTTGTCTCCAGGGAACCCAGCAGTCTCACAGTCCAAGAGCATAAACCAGGGAGTTTGAGAGAGGAGTGCATGAAAAGGAAAAGGAGAAAGTCCCTTTATTAGTAAAATAGAAAGAAAAAGCTTCTTTTATTTTTGAGTCTGGAGCCTAAGTCTCAGGAGCCACGATTCTTTTCTGCATCCCATTTCTCCTACATCCTGAATGTTCCCATTCACCACCACACAACCCAATCCTTTATTTAAGGACTACCCCGGCCACCTTCTCTGCAAGCTGCCATGCTGTGGTCAGATTCTTAAGCTTTGTTTTGCTTTATTTGGTAATTTGTTTTTGTTTTAAGTTGTCCATGATTATCTGCCTTATCTCACTCAGCATGACCCCCTCATGTCTGTGTGTGGCACATGCGGCATGTGCTTTTTGTCGTTCGATGTTCTCTCATATGGAAGCATCACATTCTCTTATCCAGCCATTTGCCTAGAGCACAAACTTCCCCAAGTGTTGGCTATTGTGGCAGCTTTTATAGGAACTTGCTGGGTTATCTTTGAATATCTGTTTGAAATTTATTTGCATAAACACCGAGATCAGTTTGAGACTCTGAATGATCAGTTTGAGGCTCTTCGTGTTCCTAGAACGAACGAACAGACACCATTGGGCAACACTAGTACGCGACAGGGACAAATGGAGACGTTACTGGCTCCCGCTTGAGCAAATTGACGATTAACGGGAAGTCAAGTGATCAAGGGATCAAACACCGAGATGTAAAAAAAAACTGGCTCATGTAGTATTTCTAGTCTTAATATTGAGAAATCTTGATGTTCTCTATAGTGGCTGCACTCAAATGCAGTCTTACCAGTAATGGATGAAAGCTTCCTTCTCTCTCCATTGTCACCTGCACTTGTAATTTCTTCTTTTTGAATAACACCATCCTAAATTATATGAACTGACAGATCCTTATGCTAATTTGCTTTCCCCCTGGTGATAAGTGATGAGGTGTATCTTTATGTATTTCAACCATCTCCATATGTATTTTTGAGAGAAATATCTTGGAAAAAATGTCGACTAGATGCTTCATCCAGTTCAGAAGGTTGATTTCTTGTGAATTATGCACTGTATGCACCATATACATATATACATAAATATATATGTTTGGGTGACTTTAATAGCATGGCTCGGGGCCTCTAGGGATGTTCCCAGTGATGCTCAGAAGACCAATTGGGCTTGGAATCAAACCTGGGTCAGTTACATTCAAGGTATATGTCTTAACCCACTGTACTCTCTCTGTCCCTGTTTATATCTTTGGTATATTTATCCTTTGTCAAATAAATGATTTTCAGATATCTTCTTTTAGGGAGACCTCTTCAGATCCCGCAATCATCTCTGAAGACACCCCTGTACAAAAAAAAGATGCTATGCTTCCCTTAGGCCCAAACATCTTTTCTTGTCATATTTTTAGATATCATGACTTGGTACTGTTTTTGCTTTAACATTTGCATTTTAATATCTTCATATATGTCTACAGTGGGCCTATTTTAAACTTGCCTACAGCTTGCTCCAGTCTTGAAACACATGGTCTACATTCTTCTGGTTGCTTATTTGGATCAACGCACTGAAGTCAGAACTAGATAGTATTTGGAAGGGCACAGTCATGAACAGCTTTCCTTATACCTATTAGCATCCATTCACCATAGACAGCTCACAAGCACATATGTCAACCCTACATGCACAAACAAATAGTGGTGATTAACTTAGTGCACCTGCAATAGTGATGGCTTATCTCCCAGAAGGCATAGCCAGGATCTCACAACTCTGTCTCCATCATACATGTGGAGGGGTTTGGAGCACTGCTGATTGGTGGCCACAGGGATGTTTTTCCTCTGTCCAGCCATGGTATACACATCAGAGGTTGAGTGGCAGACCCTATCTGTAGGAACAGTCTGTAGAAAATCAGCCTACTTTCTGGATGAGCTAAGTAACTGATTCTGAGAGTTCACAGCTCATACTTGGTCCCTCGATTCCCACACATTAATCTCGCTGGAAATAGACAATGGCATGGAGCCATCATATCCCATTGAGTTGGGTGTTGGGGTGGGGGAGTGGAGCAGACAATCAGGTAGGCAACAATAATAATCCACGACTATTTTCTCAAGGAACCCAATCCGACTTCCCAAGCACCTTTCTTAAAGCATTCTTCATGTCTTTGTTTCTAAGACTGAAGATGAGGGGGCTGAGGAAAGGAGTGATGACCGTGTAGGGGATCGCAGTGAAGATATCTTCACCCCCAGAGGCTTCTGGCTTTAGGTAGACAATGGATGCGAAGCCAAAGTGAATAAGAACCACTGTGAGGTGGGATGCACAGGTGGAAAATGCCTTCTGTTTGCCCTCAGTGGAGGGGATCCTGAGGACAGTGGAAAGAATGAAAACATAAGTGAGGATGATAAGTAAAAAGGTGCCCAGCAGACCAGACACAGAGATCACAGTCACTACAATTGCAGTGCGGTCACTGTCAACACAGGACAGCTTCACTAGAGCTCGCATATGACAGAAGAAATGCTGGATATGGTTGGGGCCACAGAAGGAGCCCTGGAAGATCAGCGTGGTCTCTACTAGAGAGATCAAGAAGCCACCAACCCAGGCAAAGGCTACCAGTCGCCCACAGACCACGTTGGTCATTAAGAGTGGATATCTGAGGGGATTGCAAATTGCCAAGAAGCGATCATATCCCATCAGAGTGAGGATAATGCAATTGGTACCACCAAGTCCCAAGAAGAAGAGCATCTGTAGGCCACACCCAGCGAATGAAATCCTCCTGCTTCTGGTGAGCAGGTCGGTCAGCATCCTGGGGATGATGGCTGCAGTGTAGCAAGTCTCAGAGAAGGAGAGTGCACTGAGGAAAAGGTACATGGGGATGTGAAGATATCTGTCGGCCCATGTGAGACCCATGATGGCCAGGTTACCTGTAAGGGTGAGCAGGTAGAGGCCAAAGAAGATCACAAAGAAGAAGGTCTGCACTTGGGGGTAAAGGGAAAATCCCACCAGGATGAATTCCATCAGGACAGTCTGGTTGGTCTTCATTGTGGCACTGTCTGAAATGAAAAGCAGGACAGATGCTTAGGGTTATTTTTCACAACTGATTTTCATTTTGTTTGCAAAACACTATGTCAATAAAGTCTTTTTCTAATTTCAATACATTCATTTCTCCGCTGTTTGGCAAATAAGTACTGGTTACTCACCATATGACAAGAAGGCTCTACTTTGTGTATGCTTTTGTCAGTGGAAATATATGTAGGGAAACGTACTCTAGTGGATGTCAAGATGAATATTTAGTGCATAAATGTGAGCCAGACTTTGTCTCTGTTTCTGGACTCTGTTTCTGAACAAGCAGCCGACATCAGAGTCAGGGACACAGGCAGCAGCATCCATGTGATACGTGGTCTGTGAACAGCCACAGGAGGAACCTGGTGAGCAACTGAGAATTGGGGATCATATCTGGAGGATAGCTGATAATCGATAAAGAAATTCAAGGTTTCTTTAATCAGAAAGATGATTTAGTTTCCAAAATATTAAAGAAAATAAAATCTTTCTTCGCCTACTTGGAGGAGAAGAAAGAGGGAGATGGAGTAGCCCAAGACCCTCAGTGCCAAAAGCCAATCAGAGTATGTGCTTGTGTTTAAGCATATTTTTCATGCAGGATGGTTCTAGTGTCCACAATACTTCTTTCTCCAGTGTCAATGTCATCTTTTGAGACAGTGTTGTCACTCTGTGGATTCTATGCTGAACCCTGTTTCCTCTTATCCTCCAGCAACTAGTTGCAGCTTCTTCTTATATTTAACACAATGAGAACTTTGTATCAATTCAGGTTAATATTCTCCCTGTCCTACAGATTAACTTATTTAAGAATTTAATAACTAACATTTATAGATTCCACAATTTCCCAGAATCCTTCTAATGCTTATTAATTTTATTCTTCATGCATAAATATTAAGAACATACTGAGTGAGAAATATATAACATCTGTGCTTATTTCAGAAATAAGACCAGTTTGTCTGTAAATTGGCATATATGTCGCTGCAGGAAAACAGTTTAACTTTATTTGTATATTTGCTCATTTATCAGGGCTTGGGCTGGAGCGATAGCACAGCGGGTAGGGCGTTCGCCTTAAAAGCGGCCAACATGGCTGACCCGAGTTCGATTCCTCCACCTCTCTCGGAGAGCCCGGCAAGCTACCGAGAGTATTCGATATGCCAAACACAGTAACAACAAGGTCTCCAATGGAGACGTTACTGGGCCCGCTCAAGCAAATCGACGATCAACGGGAGGGCCTTTACCTTTACCTTTACCTATCAGGGTTTACTCCTTGAGTAAAGTATATAAATAGTATATTTTTTGAAGATGATAAAAAGCATTGTAAGAAAACAATTTCAAATAACTCTATCCAGCATAGAATGGTTAAACGTTTAAAAACTCTGAATCTGCTTTGTACTGTTCTTGAGCAGTGGGTTGTAAGTGGATAATATACTTTCCAACATGATAAGTGGATGTTCAGGCAAAGACTGAGCACTCTTACAGAAAAGTCTAGCCAGTCACTTCAGAGTCAAGAGAGAGTATAAAATGTTCTAAACCAGTATTACTCAACCAGCAGCAATATAATTCCTGTGTGTCCTCAATATGTTCCAAGGTGAAAATCGTGTAAACTGGGACCATGGCCTGAGAGCAGGAGTACACAGAGAAAAGTGAGAAGTGAAGAGTCAAGAAGTGACATAAAAAAAGTCAGAAAAAAGGGTAAGAAATGCTGGCCTAACCCAAAAATGGTTCAAAAAATTATCTGTAGTTCAATTCCAATTACCTCACAGTTCTCTTTGAAACTGTGGCCTCCTTGAGTGTACACGACCCTTCTGAGTTAGTGCTGCAAGAATCACATGATTCTATCTTGATTCCCTCTTGGTTTTCCTCTTCTCTCACTGTGTCTGTCATCTACCAGTGGGTCACAATTTCTCACGGAGAGCATGAGGATGTTCTCTGTCCTCCTGTCTGAAGGCAGACCACAGTGGCAGTGTCCAGGGATGTCTCCCCATAGGCTTCTAGGAAAAAAATCTCCTGAGGTCCTCATGAAACCCTCTGGACCAAGCTACACTTGCAGGTGTTCTTTACTTTCCCCTGCAAACAGCTTCCTGAAGTCTCTGAAAGTGCTTTTAATTATTGTAACCTTGAAGAAAGGCAATGGTAAGGCTTGTCCAGAGAGAGAGTAATGCAGGTAGGTTACTCACCTTGCACAATGATGACCTGGGTTCTATCCCCTGCACCATCAATGATTCCCTGTACACTACCAAGAACAGTCAGGAAAAGTCCTGAATAGAGCAGGGGGTGGCCCCCAAATTTAAAAACAGTGATTTTAGAACTAAAAACTAACTAAGAACCCCAGAAGTGTCAAAAAAGGAATATTATGAGGTCCAGAGCCTCCTGCCCCCGCGCTTGGCTGTCCTCGCGGGGTCCCTTGGAGGGGGGCGGATTGAGTTTCCCTCCCCGCCCCAAGAAGAGCTCCGGCAGCCAAAGACCTCCAGAACCAGCTGCCACCATGCTGAGACCACTCTCCACACGCATGAAGGTACCGGCAGAGGAACAAAGGCATGCGGGTCCCGGGGCTGAGATCTCCAAGCCTGCTCGGATCAGGGCTGAGCATCCTCCACCCAGATCCTCCATCTTCCAGTAGGCAGGGGTCACACCCACCAACTGGCCCCCTGGTGCCGTGTAATCCCATCAACAGCAAAGACCCAGAGACTATAAAACCCAGTTCCCAGAAGCGCGCTGCTGCATTTGCGGCCATGTGACATCTTATTAGCTCATTCTTACTTTGGACAACCTGTAAGAGTCTGGCAAACTCCCCATGGCGTACCCAATATGCCAAAAACCAGTAACAATGATGGGTCTCATTCTCCTAACCCTGAAAGAGCCTTGAATATGGCACTTTTTAAAACCTCAGGGCTAGGACGAAGGAGACGTTACTGGTGCCTGCTCGAGGAAATCGATGAACAACAGGATGATCGTGATCGTGATATGAGGTCCAGAGGGCTAGCGAAAAGTGTTACAGCACTTTCCTCACATACAGCAGATACATTTCAAACTCTTGCCCCACATTGATCCCCAGTATCACTAGGTGCAGCCTTGCACATTGTAGGGTGTACCCCTACCCCCAGCACCACCAGTATGGTTTGGTTATCCCCTCTACTGGCTGAGCTATACCACACACTCAGGCTCACCCTTGGGCTTTCACACTGAACCACCAGCGTGTTGACAAGGAATGACAGGGATGGGTCCCTGGACTTCCTCTTTACCACTTGGGAGACCCATTCCCACAAAAATATACATATATATATAAATTTTTTAAAAGATCTCAGCAGAGCGCACCTCCAGCCCTGCTTGCTTCCTCCACCTGGTTTGCAGAACTCTCCACCATTCTCTACACACCCCTAACCTGGAAACCAAACAGCAGCACCTCCCAGCATCCTTCAGGACTTACATTGTGGCAGGGGTGTGACCTCCGTGGCATGGGGCGTGGCCTCCGAGGCAGGGGGCATGGCCTTTCGGGACAGTGGTTGCTCTGGCAGCTATAATTTTTCTTGCCTTTCCCAGCACTCTGGACTTACATCTCAATCTCCATTACCTAATTCTGTGGAGAACATTCTGGCTATCTCAAACACATTAGGCCAATTGTCCACTAGCTTATTCTAATCTCACCAAAACACCTGTGAAGACAAGAAACTGCACAAGCCTAATACAAAAGAACACATCCTCTAAAGCTTCACTAGAGGAACACAAAAGAGAAAGGTAGAGAAAGGTATTCTAGAAGGAGTAAAAGGTGACCACCATCAACCGAGCTCATCCAGGATCCTTTCTCGCAATCAGAGGGAAATATTGATAGTTCATTGGAAGGTCCAACCTCCATATTACCACAACAGCATGAAGAAACAGCGAAAATCCCCACCACAAGGAGAGGATGAAGAAAAGATTTCAGAAGCCTCAACAGGGGTTACCCACAAATACAATCTCTCCGATAAAGAATTCAGAGATGAAATGTTGAAGATGTTCAATGAACTCAAAGAAACAGTGGAACAGGCATCCAGTAAATTAAAGGAGGACATAAAAGAAACAGTGGAATGGACAGGCAAGAAAATACAAGAAGAAATGAGAGCAGAAATAAGAAAGCTACAAACAGAAGTGTCACTAATAAAGGATTCAGTAGATGAAATAAAAAAAACTCAGTGGGTGTCCTAAACAGCAGAATGACAACAGCCAAAGACAGAATCAGTAAGCTTGAAAATGAGCTTCAAATTTTACAGGCAAAAACAAACAATGAGAAAAGACCTTAAAATAGCTCTAGGGCTAATCAGAGACCTAAGGGATGAATCCAAGACGAACAACATAAGAATCATCGGAGTACAACAAGGACAGGGAGGCAACCCCAATGAAAAAACTACAGTTAAAGATATCATTGCTGAGAAGTTCCCAGAGCTGAAGATTGCAGGCATCCAGATTCAAGGAGCCCGAAGGGTAGTAGTCAAAAGATACCCTAATAAAAAGACTTCAAGACATATTATAATCAGAATGATGGATGCCGTGGATAGAGACACAATACTGAAAGAAGCAAGGTCAAAGAAGGAAATCACATACAAGGAACACTCCTTAGATTAACAGAACACTTATCATAAAAAACCTTCTAAGCCCTAAGATAATGGTGGGATATAGTGAAAAAACTCAATGACCTGAACGCCTCACCAAGAATACTTTATCCGGCTAAACTCTCACTCAAACTCAAAGGAACGATACACTATTTTATGGATGAACAACAGCTTAGGAACTTCATAGAATTAAAACCAACCTTAAAAGAAGGACTAAAGGTGCAACTGTAAGACAAGAAAAACCCCTATAAGCACCACAAATCTCTACAGAAAGATGGCACAGTACCCCATGACAATAATGTCTCTCAATGTCCATGGTTTAAATGCACCAATTAAGAGACATAGTGTGGCAAAATGGATTAAGTAACTGAACCCAAATTTCTACTGCCTAGAAGAAAC